GATCAGGCGAGAGAGAGAGAGAAGGGGGAGTGGGTGGAGGGTAAAAAATTAGGGTTAGGGTTTTTATATAGTACCTGATTTTTGAAGATTGAAACTTGGTCCCTGATTTTTGAATTTGAAACTTTAAACACCTGAAATTCTTGAATTTCTCAAAATAAAAAGGGATATTGGGTCAATCCTCTTAAAAATAATTAGATCTATAATTGAAGTGCCAAAAACCCTCTTGAAAGCTCAAAAAAGCTTACAAATTGATTTTGTCACTTTTTTAATTTGGTTTAATAGTCTTTCTTCTCTCTCTTTACAAAGTTGAAAGTTAATCATACCAAAAAAATATTAATTTAAAAGAACATGATATGTTACTTTTTTATGAAAAAGTGACGTGATACTTTTTAAGAGTGATATAACTTAACTTTTTTCGAAAAAAAGTGACATGGGAACCCTTTAAACTTCATAAAATTGATGCTTAATTAAACTTGTATGTAAATATAAGGATACACTTGTTATTGATAGAACTACATATCAATTACAACAATAACAACTTAGTCACTATTTAACAGTGTTAAAACTTTACTTCTTAGAAAAATGACATCATATGTCATTTACAAAAACAAATTGACATATGTTTTAACAAAAATTGTTGTATGTATATGCTACTGGAACAACAAATTCAGTCATTTTATTACTTTTATATTCATTATCTTGTTTTCTTTTGCCTGCATAAGAGATGAAGACATTACTTTTATGCATATTTGCAAAAAGAATACAAATGAAATAGTGTGTGACTTTTTTTGAAAAAAGTAACAGAGTATGTCACTTATAAATTTTATCACATTAATTTATATGCAAAAGACAAATAAAGTGTTACATTGCCTCACTTTTTAATTTAAAGCAATATTTGAATTCATATTCATATTTTTCACAAATACACACGTGTATACATCTTTTAAATTGATCAAAAGAATTTAAATGAGATAAACTGCAATCTTTTTTTTAAAAAAAATGACAGTGTATGTCACTTTTCTCAATCTCATATTTTTATTTACATTTTCACGAGCACCTTGCATGCAAAACTTGAATTTATCCAAAATTGAATTTTATATATATTAACTCAATCCAATTCATACAAATGTGAATTTTAATACTCAAAATCATTAATTTAAAGATGAAATTTCATATTATCAGAACAAAAAAAAACCTCAACATCAAAATCAATGTGAAATTTTGGTTCATAGCCCGTAATTTAGTCATTAATAGTAAAAAATTAGCCTATAATTGCTTTTTATATTGAATAATCATGAGATATATAATTTGTTACTCAAAAACTAAATAAAATATGAACTTCTGCAATCAAAGGTTAGAAACATACAAACATGTAGTTTGGTTGATTATTCATAGATTGGGGGAAGAAAACTTTGAATAAAAGGTACTCAAAGTTGCCCTCAACCGTGTTTGGGCTTGATTTGTTTATGATCTCAATTTTGGTTGATTTTAGAGCGTGCAAGATTTCGAATCCTCTTTTTTCATTTTTTTACCATATTTATTGCGGTTATAAGTGGTGAAATTATAGCAATGTTATAAAAAAAGACCAAATCGATCAGTTCAACAAAAAAAAAAATCATGAATCAACCTCTAATTCGGTTCAGTACTCATACATTAACCGAAAAATGAAAAAATGGCATTGTTAATAAAAAAAAATTTCACAAAAAATTTAACTATCTTGATGGCCCACCTATTGCAATAGAAGGCCCAAATAACTATTTTTATATAAGTGAAGTTGTTTTAGCCCTTTTTAATGGAGACTCTTTTTTCAATGTTGGATACAAACTCTTTTTTCTTCTTCCAATATTGTAATAATCTTCCAACGTGGGATATTAGCCAATTGCTAATTCTAAGTGTTTACCTCATTATTTTCATTAACAAATCATGACCCCCAAAAAGATTATAATCACAAAATATTTCAATTTAAACAAAGCAATTATCTTGAACATATTAATTGCTAGTTTTTGATGTTATAAAATAAACTACTACAATAAATCTAATTAACTAACATGTATTATATTTACTTTGAATTAGTAAACTAAAATTAAAAAATCTATTATAGTTATGATATTTTATAGTTTATTTTTGTATTTATTTTGTCATCCAGTTCGACCTTTTAACCCTCGACCCTCTTCCTTCTCTGGGTCGATGCCCGGGTCGATTTTACTAAAATTAAAAAATCTATTATAGCTATGATATTTTATAATTTATTAGTGTATTCATTTATTTAATTTGTCATCCAGTTCGATACCGGTTTGACATATTTTAACCCTCGACACTCTTCATTTTTCAGGTAGATGCTCAAATCGATTTTTAAAACATTGAATCATAACATTTATGTTTTAGCTCATGTTTATAATGATTTTTCAATAATATCTCAAAATTAAGAGTATTTATGTAAGTTGACTAGGGTTGATCAATTGCAAAGGACAAGCCCATGGATAGATGAAGCTTGGACTTAACCATGTCGAACCCCTGTTAGATCTAACTTTTTAAACATGAAACAATTATAGGAAAATTAGGTTGGGTGCCCTATTAATAAGTATTTTGATTAATACTTTTTAAACTAATTAAACATTTTAATCAAGTATTAATTACGTCATAATCTAAACTAAACTCCAACCCCCCTAAGTAAAACCACGAAAACCCATCCTCTCATTTCTAAACTATTAACTAAAACTCTTCATCTCCCACACCTCACATCACCAACACTGAGAGTTAGACATGTAAAAGAAGAAACATTTGCTACAGAAGTTTCACGTCGGCGATCATCATAGGCCGCCCGCACTCGATTCCTCCCCTCAGACGACGCTGTTTCAACCCTCGCCTGCATCGACCTCGTCATCATCACCAACTGATTTACCTCAAACGACATCGAATTTGGAAAACGAGAATTTCAATAGCTTTAATTTCTTTGAGGAGGAGTTCCAGGTGGAGTTGGCCTTGGCAATCAACGTTTCAGATCAGGGTCGAAAGGAAGGTGACCCGGAAACCGCTCAAATAAACGCTGCCAAGCAGATTAGCCTTGGGGGCTCACCCTCGCAAAGCCTCTCTGAATTTTTGTCTCTACGATATTGGGTAATTATCAACTATATTCGGTTATTAGTTTTTTAATTTTTGACTCGATTCTCTTGAATGTACGAGTCAACTTAACATGAATTTCTTTAATTTGAGCCGTGCGGGTAAATGAATTGTTGGATTTCTATGTTACGTTTATAGTGGTTTCTATATTGTTTTATTTTTGGGGGGTATTCACATATTTTATAATTAATTTTTTCTCTGAATTCTCTACTGGGAAATATATTTGTAAAGTGGGATAGATATCCTCATGATGTGGAAAGCAACAGAGTGGACATAAACATGATTTAAGTTAGTGCCAACTGCTCTCTCAAATATGTTAGTTTTAGTTATTAGTTGAAGCAATTAATGATTTCATCTTGTGTTATTCTTTCGTTGATGCAGAGCTATAGTGTTGTAAATTATGACGAGAATGTAATTGATGGCTTCTATGATGTTTCTAGAATTAATTCAAATTTGGTGCTCCAAGAACAAATGCCATCACTGCTTGATCTTGAAGCAATGTCTGTTTCGGATAATGTTGGTTATGGGGTTGTTTTAGAAATGAAGTGCTATGTGGATATAAATTTGGTGCTCCAAGAACAAATGTCATCACTGCTTGATCTTGAAGCAATTTTGTTTTGAAAACTATATGCGTTATCTTTATCCTTTGAAACCTTTACCTCAGTGATGATGCACTAAAATTGTGCTCGTCCACAAGAAACAAAATATGGCAACATAATCTTCTATGATTTTCAAATTAATTGATATTGTCAATGTTGAATTTAAACACCATAGTCACTTTAAATTTAACCACACTAACCACTCACATCACTCTCTCTCTCTCTCTCTCTCTCTCTTATTACTTTAATTCCACTTTCTCAATTTTCTCTTCTGACTATGGTGATGATCTTCAGTAGACTCCAAGCTTCTTGGGAAGCTTTTTGCTTATAGAAAATGTTTATTCATTACTTCATATATATTGTTTTTCAAGAGTTTAATCAGATTGAAACGGTAAAAATGGAACATGCACAAGGAAAGTACACCTCAGTTGTTAACATTAACTCTATAATTTTCTGATGCTTTCAGGCAATCACGTCAAAGGGTGGTTATTACCTTGAAGCTCCAGTGTCGGGTAGCAGAAAGCCTGCTGAAGATGGTCCAATTGGTGATTCTTGCTGCTAGAGAAAAGGTGAGTTTTCTTGTTTCATTTGTCATTTCCATGGTTGATGTCCTAAAGCTTGTTACTAGCGGTGAATTCAGGGCTCGAGTTCAGTTAGGACGGACCGCGAACATTGAACGCTTACTGTCAACGGTCAACGTCAGTAATAGCGATGTTGTTTAGGTAGTGGGACTTGAGGTAGCTGATTGGTTAGGTTGGAATTGGTACAGTTGTAGG